GACCAGATTTACTGGTTTCAGTTGAAGAGAACAAGTGCAAATTAAAAGTACTTATCCATAACAATTTTTTTCTCTCTCTTGATCTCTTCCATATCCTCTTTTAAGGTTTTAGTTTTCTTTGTCGTTTAGGTCAGAAATAGTCTAATTTCTTTAAAAATTAGACTATTCGAACCTTTTTCTTTAATTAATTTTTTTTTTGCTCTTCATTTGTGAAAGTTATTCCTGTTTTCCAATTTTCTGGGATTAAATTTTATTTTTAGGGTTCTAATAATAATAGGGAAGCTGATTTAGATTCATACGAGTTTAGGGTTTGTGATGAACTCTACGATCAAAACAATTGCGAAAGTCTCTATATGAAAAGATGCAAAGATATCGAAAATCAGTGCTCGCTTCAAGCTTGGAGCGGCGGAGTGTGAGTTATGCTAATTATGCAAAATAATTATAGTTTTGATTGTAAAAGTTATGTTATTTTCTCTAAATATGCGTTTTATAGATCTAGGTTATTATTATAGATGTAGTATGACTATTTATTATTGATACACTAGTGAGTATAATTGTGCAACTGCTGATTTTTAAGGGCATCTAATAGTTTGTATGTACTATGTGTCTTCAATACTTTGTAGTATAATATTTATTTATTGTTCAAGGTCAAAATATGATTGACAATTAACATAGATGGTTAAACAATAACCTTTTTTCTAAGAGGTCAAGTATTCGATCCTTCTCATCCATATATTTTTTCCAATATAATTGAGACAATATGGAGTATTGTTGGTTGGATGGATGACGTGGCATAATAAGAAGTCATGTAAATGACGTGGCAAAATGAGGCAATCTACGTGATATATAGACGTTTTTAGAAACATCTTTTAATATATATATATATATATATATTTCACAAATTTTGTGCATAAATCAAGAATTGCTATGGCCTACGTTGTCAACTTGGATTATTCATAATAAAGCTTGATTTAAAAATTGAGCTATTCTTAGTGATATTATTTGTTGTGGTGACAAATATAATTGACCTATTCTTAAGATCCAATCGATGAGTTTGACTGATTAAAGTACTTGTGTGACAAAGACCAGCATTTTGGTTGGCTCAATTTGTCATTAGCGACTTTCCATGCTTAATTAAGCATCAATACTTGAGCTAAGCTACTTATACAATTATGTGGTCCCAAAATGAATTTTGATTTTTGAGGAAAAACTTAAACTAATCTTAGATGTATTAACCCTTTTGATCGCACCATATACATAAATAAATCACTTTTTTGCTTAATTAATCACAAATTATATATATTGTTTAAATCTCTATCAAAAACCCTTGTACAAAAGTATTATTTTTAGGTAATAGGTATAATGCATTTGCCCTTTTCATGTAGTAGTTGCTTGTTTTGATTAAGTGAAAGTATTATTATTCCATGTATTGTTTAACAAATTAAATAGTAGCAACTCTCAAGCACTAGCTTATAGAGATTAGGTTCATATTTTGAATAATAATCCTGTAACAAAAAGTTTAATGCTTTGAAAAGGCTTTCAAAATCAGTGTGCTTGATTAGTGTTTTTGCAAACAAACATTTTTTTTTTTTTAAAAAAATTGTTTAATTTTGTAATTAAACACCAATATGTTGACATCAAATATAAAACAACCCGATAAATCAACAACGAACTAATTGTACCAACCTTTAATAGAACAACTAATTAACAAACACTTCAATTAGGTTTTCATAATAGCTACTTTTACCCGAGCATGTTCAAAGTCTCTACCATATAACTTTCGAGGATTATTCAGCTCATCTTTCACTGGTTACTATTTTTGAAAACAAAGCAATCGGCTGAACCAACAAAAAGAAAGAAAGTTAAGAAACTAAAACAAAAACTATCACTCCGGCGGATTATTCACGCCCACAAAGTGATTAGTAATAGATAATGTTCACTGATCAATTCATTTGTCATGTTTAAACATACTTGTATATGTTATGGGGTAGTAACTTCTAAGTCACAATGTCCAAGTTTATGTATAAATAAGTATATAGAGAAATTTTTGTTTAACCAACTCTTTGAGTTACTATATATGCTAAGCTAGTTTATAATATTCATAATTAGATAAAGGAAGTCACATAGCAAGTGTTTAGGTGAGAATGAAAGACAAATAATATACTAAATTGTACATACTATAGTACAAATCTAGCTACTACTATTAGTAACTTTCTTTATTTAGAAGTGACAGCAATTGCATCTATAAGTAACAAAATCAATGGCCTATAGGGCTATAGGCTATAACAGCAGTATTGTTTAGATCGTGCACCGCGAGATAATACAAAAACTTGAATAAAAGGACTACATTATCTTTCTTTTTTTCATTAACCAACATTAGAAGGATTAATGTTTGGATAAAAATATAAAATTATAAACATTTATACCATTTGAAATTAAAGAATTACTATACATAAAAAGAAAAAAAAAGATATTTTTTAATAGCTTATATTAGTCATTAAATTGTACCAAGAAAAATACTTCACAAATTCTTATATTGTGGCTGGCCACAATGTGTGACCAATCATTATAGGGGTTACTTTTTTAGTTTTATAGGGTTACCCGGTCAGTGATACAGGGGTTATTTTGTCAATATATTAGGAATTACTTGATCACTATTATTATAGGGGTTACTTGATCAGTGTTATAGGGGTTACTTTGTTCTTTTACAAGTGATCGCTATGAATTTTCACTCTTCCACTTGTTATTTATATATCAATAACAAATACTCCCTCCGTTACGATTTACTCGCAACAATTACTAAAAATGACCGGTACACATTACTTGCAACAAACTTATTTATTTCCCTTTATGGTAAGTTTTTTTGTGTGATTTTACAACATTACCCTTACTTTTTTTTTCTAAACACCCAAATTAAACTTCTAATTTTCCTAACATTAATTAACTTAAACATTTCTACCAAAATCATTCACCTTCCATCCAAATTCATCATCATCTTAATTGGCAACCACCACCACCACCACCACCATACTACCACCGCAACTCCACTGTATTTAACTAGAAATTTCTCTCTCTCTTTGTTCATCTCCCCCGATCTCCACCGCTACTATGGCTATCTATTGTCGCTGGAACTCACTATCGATATCCTCTTGGTTTTCGTCGCCTTCTCTCTCTCTTTACCCAGAAATCGGGGTTGTTGTGGTGCTCTATTTACCCAGAAATCGGGGTTGTCGATCTCTTCCTTCTCTTGGTAATTTTCCAGATCTGATTGTTTTCTAGGTTCCATGGATTTGTTGAGGGTTCGCGGGCTTCGTGGTGGGTGGTTGGTGATAGGTGGTGGTTCGTTTGTATATGGTTTGTGGATCGTGGTTCGTGCTGGGAGCTGGGTCAAAATCGGGGTGTTGGGTCGAAATCGTGGGTGGTGCTGGGTCAAATTCGTGGTTTTGGGTCAAAATCGGGGTGTTGGGTCAAAATCGGAGGCGGTGGTGGGTCGAAATCGTGGTTGTGGGCGCAATTAGGGATGGTGGTGGGTCGAAATCGTGGTTCTGGTTTCGATTGTGGTGGTGGTGGTGGTCGTGGTATGGTGCTAGGTGGTGGTGCTGGTTTGCTGCTAGGTGGTGGTGCTGCTGCTGATAGGTGCTAAGTGGTTGTATTTGATTTTTTTTTTGGGTTGGATTAATACTAAACACATGCCATTATATTTTGTTAATTACACTTACCATCTTTTGCCTAGGAGTCCGCAAACTCCCTCTTTGTTGCGAGTAAATCGTAACGGAGGGAGTATATGGTATGACTTTTTTTTTTTTTATTTTATTATTCCATCCTCTATTTTATTTCTACTGAATTTTGACATTTTACTCATAAAAATAAAATAAAAAAGCTATGTTAGTTATATGTTATCAATATTGAAACACATATATCCTAGATACCTATCAAATTGCAAAATTAATCACACAAATATATTTTTCAATATTGATTACATAGCATATCTCTAACTAACATAAACACAAAATGGAAAACAAAAAATAAAATCAAAATGACAAACAAAGATTTTAAACATATGCTTACACAAAGAATGTTGCAATCCAAGATTTGTTTCAAAGAATACTCAGCTCGATCATATGGTAATAGGGTGCTTTTACAACTTGGATAACAGATTTCGACACTCATAGAGTCATAGTCTCATACTAACATAATATACAAGTAATTTAAAACATGATACAATTATAAATTTACAGTTTAATTTGTGCCTTAGAAAAGCCAATCTTTTTTAATTAACATGTATACAATTATATTTGTAAAAGTGAAACTGAATAATTGAGTATAATTCCAGATTAATTACTAATTCAAGTAAAATTAAGTACAAGTAGATTAGTAGGGGCACATGTTTCCAGCACATAAGGAGAAGAATGTCTTGAAATAAAAGACACAAATAAGTTATATTTCATGTACTTGAACGACAAACATAAATAATCAAATCAATATATACTGCATAATTACTGTCATAAATATTAGTCAGTCTAAAACCCTAATTTATGTTTAAATAATTATAGGGTTACTTTATTTAGCAAAAGAGAAACGAATCATCTATCTCATTTTACTTAAACGCAAGGAATCTTTGAGAAGAAATTCAACTTAAAATTACTAAAGAATATAATTAATTAATAATTAATTTGACTAAATCATGACCTAATTGTCAAAGATGCAAACTTTACCTTGTAAGATTATTCATATAGACTTTAATTAGATCAATCAACAATTATAACAATACACTTAAACTATGTAGAGATGAAATTAATAAATAAAAATTCTCTGATATATTACCCATGAATCTAGATTTGTATTGGTAATTTGTGGTAGAATCCAATACCTAAAATCAACTCTTATTTACATCTGTCGTTTGTGGCTTTCTACCCACCCGAACAAAAATCGAGGTTGAATGAACCAGATTCAATAAGTAAATTAATAAATAAAGCGATTTTTCATTATTGATAATATGGTAAAGGGGGCAAAATTTCGCAAAATTAATTGAGGGATTCTTTTACCCAGTTAGGACCCTATCAAATTCAATTAGTACTCTTTAATTTAACACAAGAGATCTAGTAATTAATTAACAAATCTCTTCCTTACAAATTAGGTTATAAATTAAAACTCCATACTTTTGTTTTAATCTCATAAATTAAACAACCATAAACAAGCTAAAATAACAAATAAAATTAAAAAAAAAAAGCCAAAATATATATGTATTACCAAGCTAGCAACTCATAAAAGTTGTTGATCGATGACAAGCATCAACCATGGATATTTTCCCTCTCCTTGTTTTGATTAGCAACCCTTTCTCCTTCGAATTCACGGTATCGATGAAGGTACCTCTTCAAAGGGTCAGCATACTCATCAAACCCTAGAGAAGACAAGGCCCAACAAATATCATCACCATTGACAGTTTTGCGCTTCTCTTTGTGACATTTATCGGAGGCTTCACCCGTAACAAAGCTAATAAACTCGGAAACACACTCTTGCATAGTTTCTTTAGCTTCCTTAGAGATTTTCGCATTTGGGGGTAATATATGCTTCATTATTCTCCCAACATTAGCTATAGGGAGCAAACGATCTTGCTCTTTAATAGTCCCTAGGGCTTGATCTTCGTGCTCGTGATCATCGTGCTCATTCGAGTTCCTTATGTTACTACCCTCATGGTAAATATTTTGATTGTAATTACCATGTTGTTGTTGAGATGATGAAGAAGTTGGTGTAGGGTTATAGTTGGGAAGTAAACTTCTATTTGAGTAAGAAGAGGTTATGTTATCAACCATTATTATTTGTGTTTTGTATTAAAAAGAATGAGAGAAAAGAAAGTAAAGAGAAACTTGATAGATCCTCTTAACGAGAGACACGTTGCTAATGGTTTCAAATTGCTCTTTGTGTTGTCTTATATATATAGGCACTTATTCACAATTAATTAATTAATATTATATTATATGATTATGTAACTAAACCTTTACCAAAAGTTTGTGCGCGAAATAAATGGGATGGATTTTAGCTTAAGTTTCTAATACCTTTTCCAAATTTTATCTATTTTAATCTGATAAATTTTTGCTTTGAAATAGTATCTTGATTTTATTGGATAATCACATATACATACTTTCATATTATTTCAGCTTTGAAAAGTTTAAGGTATAAAGGATATATTCCACAACACATTTTAGACACTTTATCAAAATTTATTATGATTGTTTGACAAATGCTTTAAACAAATACAAAGGACTTAAATTAAAATGTTAATTTTAGTACTATTTAGAAAGTGGTGCTAAAATTTTTGTATATATCAATCTAAATTACTTTACTCTTACATCATAATACTTGTTGAAGTAATTTTATACATACCTACAAAAAAAAAAGTTCTATCAACCTATTGATTTCAACTATTACTTTATTAATTTCAACTTCTTTTTGCATGTATTATAATGCCGCCAAACATAAGTTATTTTTTTAAAAATTAGTATTGATAAAGCAGCCATAAGGACGGGTGATGAGATTGAATTAATGTCAGAATCTTCTGAAATCAGAAAAGAAAATTTAACCACCTGAACTATCCCTCACTCACAATATAGCTAGCTTAATTAATTAATTAACATGCACTTCTTTTTTCTTTTTCTTTTTTATTTTTTTTGATTAGAATTAACATGCACTTCATTTTATTTTATAATATTTTTTCTACTCACTACTATAGATTTTGTCAAAGTTAACAAAACTGTGTTGCCTTTCTTTGTGATCGAGTTGTATAAGAGAAAGAAATTAGGACTTTTTGTTAGAAATTACCTTTCAAAAGCAATTTTTTGTGACAAACTTCCTTATAAAAAAAATGTTGTAAGAAACTGCCTATTAAAATAAAAATGTTGTAAACAACTATTATTCATCAAATTTTCGTCTTTGACTAATTTATCCGCCGTTGACCACACTTGGCTGGTCACATGATAGGTGGGTAGGTGGCAGTGTTGGTGGGACATAAAAAAATAAAGGTTTTTTAAAGTTCACATGATTGGCAAGTGGGTGGTCAACGCTAGAAAAATTAGTCAACGGTGAAAATTTAGTGAAATGGTAGTCTTTTACAACATTTTCATTTTCATAGATAGTTTCTTGTAACAATTTTTTTATGAGGTAGTTTGTCACAAAAAATAATTATTAATATATAGGTAGTTTCTGACAAAAAAATCCAAGAAATTATCATGAATTGATGGGTGGTTAATTGAAGGTTGTACACTACTGGAATATAAATGTATTTGATTGAAGCTTTATGCATTTCTCTCTTTAAAAAAAAATTTAAAAAAGCTTTTATGCATTAGTTACAATTATTAGGGGAAAATACAAGTTAGATAAATGAATTTTTGTTATTCTGATGGCATTTTTGTAAATATATTGAAGAAGCAGGGTCACTTATTCAGTACTTTTGGTGAGCTGTCCAATTACTGTTTGCTTTTTACTTTTACTGTTTGGTGAAGAAATTACACATGTACACCTCAACTAGTATATGAAAAGACGCATATACCCTCCATTAGTACTTGAAAAGACAACTATACTCCCAGATAAACAAATTTTGTTTATCTGGGGAATTGACTAGGTATCCCTCAATTATTAGGCCGTCCTACCGCCTAAACTTAAATATTAAATTTGTGGCAAATCAATTTTTCAAAACTTCACAAGGTTAAATAATTAAATATTATATTCCATTATCATATACTACATACTACGTTTGTGATTCAAAGCCAATCCCACTACACACAATACATGACAATAATACAAGCTTTCTAAACGCATTTGATTCATAAACAATTAATTCAAAGAGCATTATTGTAAATATTGTACCATTATATATTCAAAATAATTTTTTAAATCTTTTTTTTACAAATTGTGAATCTATTAATTGAATAGTTTAATTATATTAGATGATTGGAGACGCAACTTGTTCAAAAGCTTAAGAATTCCGTAATATATATCTCATGATGCGATCTTATGTTATTTCATAATCAATATGCATTGTGATGCACCACAATATTATGTGATGGTGTGACAAATTCAAATGAAGTTATTTAGAATGCATATATGAGGCTAATGATGGAGATCGAAATTGGTCACACATGCATAATTGAGATCACTATATTAACTAAAGAGATGAGATCGATAGCTAAAGAATTGATGAGATTACTAATAATGATTCTAAGAGGATATGGGTAATGGTTTGATAGAGTTGTTAATTAGTTTACACCGTCAAACAAGCGTTAAACGCACAAAAGGCCAACTACACAAAATGTAAATTCACATTGAATTGGTCTAGATTTCATACTTCGATAAATTACATAAAACTGTTTTAACGAACAATGGCAAGATTTTCCATTCTCTTATCTTCTCTTCTCTTCTCTAAACATTTCGTCACAAACTATTTTTAAGAAGAGTACTTGCTATCTTTTAACATAAAAACTTCCGACTAGTAAAAGAGAGTAAAAAGAAACATATATATTATGAAGATCTTCATTAACAATTTTAGAAATGACTAGACCACTTACAATTGCAATCAATATATGTATTACTTCAAGTCATTCAAGAGTTGTCTGATTTTCATTAAATGTTAAGTAGAGGCACGTGTCGTACCCTCTCTTGGTGTATCTGTATGAGGTAGATTACGACGAGCCTCATAAAATAGGAAAAGTTATACATAAAAAGAAAAACACGAGTATATGGTGAGACTCACTAAACCTCAAGGGTACGTACCTTACGAAAATTTCCTTAATAAAACTACAAGTCTAATGGGAGCTTAAACCAACAATGCGGGAGAAGTGGAAGCATGAACGCAGTCATTTTAACCTATATATGTCTCAATCATTTTGATAAACTTTTTCCAATTTGGATTTGGATTTAGATTTGGATAATTAATTAGATTTAGTTGGGAAAAATTATGCTTTATACATGTCCACTATATTGCCTCACGTATCAACACCTAGCAACTTAATTTGTTCACAAAATTAATATTAATGTTTAGATGACTAATTAGGGGGGACACAATGGCAGGCAAACCTCTAATGTATGAGGTAGGTACCCATTAAATTAAGGTTTAGAATTAAGAGTATTCTACACACAGTACACTAAAGCTAGAATTTAAAGGTGATTAAGCAAGATTAATTATTCTAAATTAGTTAATTAATTATTTAATGGTCCCCCCTAAACAACATTGGTCATAGTTAGTCTCTAATGCTGTCAATAAGTTTGGACAAAATTGTATAAAATATTGTCTTAAATTTGAATTTGTGAACTCCATGATATGCACGTAAACCTATAGATTTGTGTCCACAACCTAAAAACTTGGACCTGTAAAGAACTGAAGGAATTGGTATTATGCCCTAATTAATTTTAGATTACGTAATTAAATGTTCATCCTCAAATTAGATTACCTACTAATTATGGGTATTTTTACTTTTCAGCTTGGAAAGATACAAATGTCATTATGTTAATGACAAAATAATTAGAATTTATTTATTTACCCCTAAAACAAAAGTAACGGTCCAAATAAAAATTGCTTATATCTATGTTTGTGGTCCTTATTTTGACCCTCAATTGTTGGTTAACAAATAGAAAGGTCTTCCTTTCAAAAGAAATATTAAATAAGGTTTTTCTATAATTAGAATGTGCAATGATACTGTTTTTTATACGTATAATTTTATTTTATTTTTATTTAAAATGACTAATTATTGATGGATACTAAGCTAGGAAGATTCAAATCATAATCATTATGAAAACCACACTTGTGTTTGATTTTAATTTCCATCATTTGTATGCCTTTGACAGCACTGAAGATATATATGTGATGGTATATACACTTCATTTTGATGAGGTATTAATAATTAAGTTTGATATAGTTTTACAATATTTCATTTAAATTTTTATTTTGACGGGAATATTTCATTTTAATTTGTCAAACCCCATTATATTATTTTTACCTACCTTATATACTCATTTCTAATTCAGATTATTCTATACTATTTTCACTCATTTTTTTTCTTGATTAACTCCCTCCGTGTTTTTGTAACTGTTATATTTTGACTTTCTCGATCTGGTTACATTTTGATTTTCTCGATCTGCATGTATTCTTTACTTTAATTCATTTTTTTCATTTAAATTTAAATTAAACATTCTTTTAAATTGTGTGTACATTTCAAAACCTCCGATATATGTCCTCTTCACTTTAGGGTTTATTATTTTTTGGCTATTAGGCTAGAATAGTATAATTGCTTCCTAAAGTAGACAATTAGACTATTTCCGACCTTTTAATCTTGTTTTTCCTTTACCATTGCTTTTTAGGTTTCAATAGATTTTGTTAGTTTAGTTATTTGTTTTTCATTAGGGTTTATTTGCGTGTTGAGCTTAACAAAAAAAAGTAATCATCCTTTGCCCTATTATCAGCTCGTTAGTAAACATTTTTTCGGAACCGGGCCACAACTATTGTCGAATTCTCAAATGCCTTGTAGCGAATCATTTACTAATCATCCTTACATGCACAACAAATCGTTAGACCGTCTCTCCGAAAAGACTGCATTTTTCAGTAATACGTGCGAGGGGTATATTACAGTGCAAAATCTTTTCAACGATCGTAGTTTTGATGAAGGACCCATTATTTGATTTAATTTTATTTATTTGGTAATTTAGATTCCATTTGTAGATGTGGGATGACATTTTATTAATGAATTGATTTTGATATCTTTAATTCTGTATTATCAAAAAATAAAAAAAAAGTGAGGTCTTTTGGAAAATTCGATATACTATTTCCGTTACACATTATTTGCAACAAATAGACATTTTTTCTCTCTATTTTATGTCAAATCGTTGAAAATAATATCAAACA